TTCTTCTTTTCCTATGTGTATTTCTTTAATTTCTTTCATCTAATTGCTCTGGCCAGTGTTTCAAGAACTATGTTGAATAAAAGTGGTGAAAGAGGGCATCCCTGTCATGCTCCAGTTTTTAGAGGGAATGCTTTCAGTTTTTCCTCCACTTAGAAGTATGTTGGCCTGGGGCTTAGTATAGATAGCCTTTATAATGTGGAGATATGTTCCTGTTATCCCTAGTTTTCTAGTGTTTTGAACATAAAGGGGAGCTGTATTTTGTCGAATGCTTTTTCTGCCACTATTGAAATGATCATATGATTCTTATCTTTAAATCTATTGATGTGGTGAATTACATTTATTGATTTCCTTAACCAACCTTGCATCCCTGGGATGAATCCCACTTGATCGTGGTGCACAATCTTTTTGATGTGTTTTTGCATTCAATTTGACATAATTTATTGAGAATTTTTGCATCTATGTTCATTAGATATTGGTCTGACATTTTTCTTTTTTTGATCTGTCTTTGCCTGGTTTTGGAATCAGGGTGACATTGGCATCATAGAGTGAGTTTGGAAGCGCTGCCTCTTTTTCTATTTCCTGAAATAAACTGAGGAGTATTGGTATTAGTTCTTCTTTAAAGGTCTTGTAGAGCTCGGCTGTGTATCTGTCTGGTCCTGGGCTTTTCTTGGTTGGTAGACTTTTGATGGTGTCTGCTATTTTGTCACTTGAAATTGATGTTTAAATTGTGTATGTCATCCTGATTCAATTTGGGCGAATTATATGACTCTAGAAATTTTCGATGCCTTTGATATTTTCTATTTTATTGGAGTACAAGTTTTCAATATAATTTCCGGTTATCTTCTGTATTTCTGTAATGTCTGTTTTGATATCTCCTTTTTCATCACGTATGCTAGTAATCTGAGTTTTCTCTCTCCTTCTCTTTGTTAGCATGGCTAAGGATCTATAAATTCTATTTATTTTTTTCAAAGAACCAACTTTTTGTTCTGTCAATTTTTTTCAATTGTTTCTTTTGTTTCAGTTTCATTGATTTCAGCTCTGATTTTAATTATTTCCTGTGCTTTTCTGCTTTGGTGTTGATTTGTTCTTTTTTTTCTAGGGTTTTGAGATGCAATGTTAAGTCATTTATTCATTGACTTTTTCTTCTTTTAAGGAATGAACTCTATGCAGTGAACTTTCCTCTTATGTTGAGAGCCGTAGGGGTTCCAAACGCTGCACAGAAGGCAGGGCGCCATCGGAGGGCGAAAGCAGGAGGGTTAGAAGGGCGTCCCCCTCGCCATGCTCCTGGGCCACCCTGAACTTTCCCCAGACAACGCTGACTGACTTTGATCTGGACCACCAGGCACAGGGGGCAGCTGACCGGCCAGCCGCCGCCTCCTGCAGAGCCCGCAGCAGAAGGGGTCCATACTGGCATGCGCACCCGGTCCCATGGCGCTGCCAATAGGCGTTCCCTTCCGGGTCCCTTTCTGCAGGGAGAAGCGGCCCAGTGACCTGTCCAAGTGCAGGAAGTGAATCCGTGTGCAGGAGCCTCCAGATCCTAAGAAAAAGGGTGGCGCTGGTGTTGAGAGCCAGGCCAGGTCAAGATGGTGCCTGGCATTTTTGCCAGAAGGGGCGGCTCCTGCTGCCTCCTGTGCCCGCTACTTTTGAGTTCTCTGCGGAGTTCCCATTCAGTTCTCGCGGGTGGAGTTCACTTGGGTTGAGTTTGAGTGGGGTTGAAAAATAAAGTTCATTCCTGCTTGAATCTACAAGTGGCTCCTGACCTCCCGTTTTTTTTTTTGTGCCCAGCCAGACTGCGGCACTCTTAGAACTGCTTTCATAGTGTCCCAGAGATAGTCTCAGGTTAGTCAGAGTGAACCTTAAAGGGAGGGAGCAGCACTCCAACACCCTCAGGTGAAGGGCATCCCTCCCTACCTGCAGCAGGAGTGGGGCAGCTGGAAGTGCAGCCGGTTAAGCTCGGCAGGCTTCCGGTCAAGGAGCAGCCTCAATTGCTAACCTTTTGTGGACTTTAAAGGTGATTTAAGATCTTCAAAAGCTAGAGTCCAGGTCAAAAGCCCAACACTGTAGCTGTTGCAGGTGGACGGAGCTCTCTTATTATCAAGGACCACCCAGGGCGGCGCATCCCTGGCGCTGAGGCCCAGGACGGAGAGCCTGACCACCCGCTCCTGTCCCTGCGCACCTCGGCCTGCGCAGACCCCTGGTGGGCGACGTTGGGTTAGATGATGCCGGAGGCCCCACGAGGCTACTGCAGCACCGGCCACACTCCACTGGGCTCTTGGCCGCCATTTGTGCCGCCCGGACCAGGCGACCGGGCAGGCACAGCTGCCGCTTCTGCAGCTGCAGCCATCAACCCACCAAATGGCTTCCCTTGTAACCATGCGCCTTGGCCCTGGGTAGTGAGAGACCTACCACTGCAGTCGCTTCTGGCCTCGCTGCCCTCAACACACCGCAGGGTGTTGAGGCCTGCAGCCACCTTCCTGCGCTTGCGCCCTTGGTAGTGAGAGACCACTGCTCTGGGCAGGCAGCGGAGGGCGCTCGCAGCTCCCTCCTCAAGGAAACAGAGGAGAGCTGCACCAACTATGCTTGTTCACCTTGAGCGTCTGGCAACAGAGCTCGCTCAAGGATGGAATTGCCCATTTTTGCACCGGCTAATAAAAACAACTCCTCACGCCCTATTGTGATGTAAACTAATCAATAAAATCAGTAAGAGTGTAAGTTATAGGTTATAGATTAGTAAAAAATATAGATTATTAAATGATAAGTGAGATAAGACAATTACAAAGCAAGAACTGTCATAGGCCTAAGACTCCATTTTTCTTCCTTCTATAAAAAAAAAAGAGAACAACAACAACAACAACAAAACTGTTACCAGAGCTGTTTCTGAGACTGAAATGAAAGCTGTTCTTATAAAAATTGTTTTTCTGTACCCACACATTGTACCCCCCTCAGGATGCAGCGGGGGTCGTGGGAGCTGCATCCTGGGTGGGTGCCCTTGAGGGTCTCTATGACTTAGACATAGACTTTCGCCCAAGCCCAGGATGCTGATGTCTAGCTCCTGCTTGGGCCTGGGATGCGGTCAGCGGAATTGCAAAGCTGACTGCCTTTCTTCAGCTTCTGTGCTTGCTTGCTTGCTAACTGGAAAATCCCAGTCCTGCTTAGGGCTGAAGGTTCCACTTACTGTTGTTTCAATCTCTGTGATTGGCTTATCTGCATGTCGCCGAGGAAAGCCCCTGAGTTGTGGTTTCCATCTTGAAGTTCCCAGGATACAGGCCTGGAAGCTGCTGTTTTCCACAGAGCTTCAGTATCTAGGGTGGGTGACAGTCCCTGACCAGGTAAATAAAGCTCTCATTGATTTGAATTTGGACTCTGTGTTTTCTGAAGTGGCTCCCCATAACAGCCCCACCGTCCTTTTAACAAAGAGACTAGTGCACGCTCTTAACTGGGGGGTGTCCTGATGCTCACCTGAAGTTTCTCTGAGCACCACTGAGTACCTAGCATTACGTACTCAGTTGAGAGGTCCAAAGTTCAAGGAGGAAGCCCAACTTCCAAGTGTTGGTTGAGATGTTATCATGCTACATAAATGGTTTTCCAGAAGCTTAGGTTTGTTTCTCTTGCTATCCTAGAAGGACAGGCATAAAATACACTCTGCTGCGACTAATGCTGTAGGTGGACAGTTAGCTGACACAGGATGAGCCGACTGAGACAGTCAATCAGAGATTACAGAAATGAGGAAAATAGCACGGCCCAGTGGGGCGAGTCAGCTGAGACGGAGAATGGATCCAACAACCAACTGGAGCCCAGGCAGTAGTTTATGTGGGTAGGTACACCAAGGGGGTCAGCGTGAGGAACTGCTTCAGGAAAACAAGATGAAAGTGGCAAAACCACTTGTTTGGGGCTTAGCAGGTCACACCCACCTCCTTTCTACCTCCAGGTGGGCCGTGTTTGAACCTAGGGCTGTCTGAGCCAAGGCAGGGTGTCCATTGGTGGAATTTCACCTTGAGTTCCCACAAAAGAAACTCCCCTGCCTTGTGATGGCGCAAACAAACCCACAATTCATATATGGCCTCAGATATGTGTATGTGACATAAAAATGTCATTTCATCAATCTGCTCTTGTTTCTTCTTAACATGTTTCCATGAGTCTTCTCATTTATGATCATCACTCTGCTCTGAAATATTTTCAAACATTCACACTTTAAATTGACATTAATATTCCCTATTTTTTCTAAATTATAGGTCAAATAAACTTGGGTAAAAATTAGACTCTACCATTTACTGAGTATTTGATCAAATGTCATAAAAGATGAATACCATTACTGCTATTGCATTCTTTTGGATTTCTGCATTAGGACATGAAAAACTCATAGAGTGAGAAGTATACATTTGAAATGATCAAAAAAGATTGATGTTGATAGTTGCTATTTTAATAAAAGAACATAAATCCTTTAAAATATTTTAACTCAAATTCATCAAGAACTTTTTTCTAAACTGGTTTTTCTCATTGTTATTCAACAGTTTCTCGTGGATCACTGGCACTAGGATCACTAGATTGGAATTACTGCTACATATTCAGAAAATCAGATTCCATCCCAAAAACACTGGACGAGAGTCTGTATTTTAGTAAATCTCTTGATTCATGGTTGTGGATTCAAATTTTGAGAATCACCCTTTTTACTTACCATAACTTTCTTATCTGAGAAATAGACAATTTATCTTATAATTTTAAAATCACAAAGTGTATATTCTTGTGTTGATGCCTTAATTTTACATCTTATTTCATGATAGTGATATCAATACCTTGGTTTTTTGACTCTCAACACTCTTTCCTCAGAGTTAGATAATAGAGATTATTACTTTGTTACAATGTATTTTCTTGTATAATTAAAGTCACTAATCTACTTGAGAGCCAGTTCTACTAAATTTCATTTCATCTTCAGAGAACTTAAAAGCTCTGTGAATGATGATATGGTCAATGTGATATTAATTTGACTAATACTATTTTAGGAACTGTTGACATTCAGGGATGTGGTCATTGATTTCTCTGAAGAGGAATGGGAATGCCTGGAGCCTGCTCAGCAGAATTTATACAGAGATGTGATGCTGGAGACCTACAGAAACCTGGTCTTCCTGGGTGAGCAGAACTTCTCTTCAGAATTCTTAATTATATAATTTTTCCCATGCAGAATATACTTCTGCTCTTCATGAAGGAATTTCAGATTTTTGCTTTCAAAAAAAAAAAGAAAAGAAAAGAAAAAGAAAAAGGCTTGCACAATTTTTGTTACAGAGAAGAAAGTGTTGCTGTCATTACTTTTAGTTCTTAACCTCTCCCTTTCCTGAGGTGATATATACCCTTCACTTTAGATTAGTGGTACTTATAGTAATTCAGTGATATAGAATGATGTGACCTACACATCAAAGTCCAATTTCTCCTCTTTACAGTACCAGAATGAAAGCATCAGTAGTCACAGGGAGAATCACAACAAGTAGTCATTTCATTTTCCAATGAACACATCTTTTTGTCTCTAAACCATATTTGCACACCTTCCTCTGGAGCAAAGGAGAGAGCCTTGAGCCATGTTTCCAGGTAGATAGAAATTCATGAAACAGAGGACACAGTTGAGAGGTCCAAAGTTCAAGGAGGCAGCCAAACTTCCAAGTGTTGGTTGAGATGTTATCATGCTACATAAATAATTTTCCAGAAGATTAGGTTTGTTTCTCTTGCTATCCTAGAAAGACAGGTACTGCCTTGTGTTTAGCATGCTTTCAACTTCTTTAATTTTCTCTTCTCCTGCACTGATGTCCCAGTGTGTTCAAATTAACAGCCCAAACACTCCCCTTTGCTTGTGAGGGTCAGCGTGATCTGACAGCATTTCCATTATTTGTGTGCGGGGGGAGGGTATCTCAGAAATCTTGCACATTTCTGGATAACTCTAGGGGAAGCCATTGTAATATATTAGTATCATACAGCAGTTTCCCTAATTTCACTTATACATTTATTCACTGAAGTCTGCTTATTAGAGCTCATTATGAATACTTATAATAGATTTTTTGTGGAATTTTTCTGCCATATAATTAATGTAATTCATAATGGCTGCTCATTTTGGGTTACCAGTGATTATAATTATATAAAAGGGCTTGTAAAATAATACAACCATGGTTATTCAGAATTTTGTTGACTAAATTCCCTCTTTCTTTTCTATTCTCTGTTTTATTTTATAGGGTAGATTTCATGTTGTAGTGTAATTTCTCACATCAATTGATTTCTCACATCAATTAATTATGTTTTTTTTACCTACATTTTATAATTTGATGGAAATTTTTAATATTTCAGAAATTAGGGCAATGTAATATGAAATTAAGATATGTTGGATCCTTGTTTATGTGGCAATAAAATTAAATTTGCTTCTATTATTTTTATTGTATTGTTAATTTGTTATTTCTATTGCCAATAAAATACATTTGAAATAAAATATATTGTATTTCATAAGTTTTTGTTTTAAAGCATGTTTTTCATATGATAATTTTTGTCACACCAGCTTATGGTCACTTTCATGTAGAATATTCTTGTATAGTTTTGCCTTCATGTTGCCTCCTTAAATTTAGAGTCTCCTGTAGATTGCGTACAGTTGTATTTTTTTAAAATTTCCTTTGCTTCTTTTATTCCTTTTCTTCTTTCTGTTATTCTTTGATTTTTGTATCACTGATTTTTATGGTGACATTGTTTTATGCCCCTTTCACTTCCCTTCATTCTTTGAGTATTGTTTCATTTAGTTTGGTATTTTATAAAATCACTTAAGCTTTCACTATATGTTAAGCTGGCAACAAATTAATTTCATAAGAAAATTTAGTTTATTTATATATCCTTTTAAATTATGTTATTGTTGGCATAGTTATTGCATACCCATTAAGAGGTTTATGATGATTTTTAGTTTTTATCTTTCAAAAGTAAGTGTTTATGTCCCATCATTTCAGTAAAATTTAATTCTATATTGCTATATGACTTCTTCTTGCTAGGAAAACTTTAAAGTTTCACATGACTTGTGTTGCTGGGCACATTTATTTTATTTTTCAATATGAAAGATTTACTTTAGTATTTTTGCAGGACAGGTCAAGTGGTGATAAAGTTTGGGTGCATTTATATATACTTAAAAGCTTTATTTTTCCTCACTTTTGAAGGATAGTATTTCTGGTTGCAGTATTCTTAATTGGTAATTCTGTTCTTCCACCCCTTTAACATTGTTTCTCACTTCTTTTCTGTAGTACCAGGCTTCTACAAAGAAATCAACCAATAATTATATCCAAATATCTTTCTCAGGGGCTTGTCTTTTTCTCTTGGGGCTCTCAAGATTCTCTCTTTATAAATGTTAAAAAATTGAGTAAAATGGGCTTTGAGTCTTTGTGTTTTTCCTTTGGAGATAATTGTGAATTTTGACTTCTATTTATTGTTCACATTCACAATTTCTCAGCCATTTTTATTGATACTGAAGATTGAACTCAGTTGCTTTTCCATTGTCCCTTTCCTCAGCCATTGTTATTTTTTATTTTTTAAATCTTTTTTTGCATTTTAACACATTTATTTTATTCATTTATTTTTATGTCATGCTAAGGATTGAATCCAGTGCCTCAGAAATGCAAGGAAAGTGCTTTACCACTGATCCCAACCACAGCCCCTCATTTTTAATTTGTGACCATATCTCACTAAGTCACTGGGCTGCCCTCAAACTTGTGATCCTCCTGGCTCAGCCTCTCAAGTTGCTAGGATTACAGCTGTGCACAGCCACTCTGATTCTCTCAACACTATTTCTTAAGAAATTCTTCAAGCATACAACTTTTTCTTGTTACTACTAATGATTTTTACCTTAATTTTTTTTCAGTTTTCTATGTTTTGGTTTAGTTTACTAAATTTATTTCAAAAAAATTTTGTTTTATTTTTTTGGGTAATTCATAACTCTCACTTTCCTAATATTAAATTCCTAGTGTTTTGTTTTGTTTCTTTGATTAAGTCAGTGTCTCTTTTTCTTTGTGTACTGCTCTATTTTTTATTTGTCCATATTAAAAAAAACAGCCAATACTAGATTAGTAGTCATTTTGGAAAACAATATGAACATTAATAAAGAACTGAAAAATAGGCAAACACAGTAATACATGCTTATAATCTCAAGTAATTGGGAAAACATGCAAGAGGATTTTATGTTTGAGGCATGTTGTGGCAACTTAGTGACACCATGTCTCCAAATAAACAATTTTAAAAAGGTTTATGTTGTAACACACTGGTACAGCACTTTTAGGCTTAATCCTAGGTAATGCTCATAAAACATTAAAAGTAGAATGACCCTGTGATCTGAAAATGCAAATTCTAAATAGGTATTCAGAGTAGATTAAATCATCATGTTGGAGAAATATCTCACTACCAATGTTCAGTGCAAGCATTCTTCACAATTGTCAGGACATGGACTCAACATATGTGTTCATCCTTAATTTAATGAGTAAAAAAATGTTGTTTTTATACACAATAAATGAACAGTAAAAAGAAGATATTTTATCACTTAAAGTGTCATGAGATGAATATGAAGTGCTTTGCATTATGTAAAATAGGGCACACACAAAATGTAATTTGCAGCTTCTTCTGACTCAGAAGTGCAGAGAATAAATGGTTACCAGATATTGTGTTGGTCAATGTCTGCAAAGTATTATTGTAATGGACATAAAAAAGTAAAGAGTTCTATTGTACCCATGGTGAGTGTAATGTAGTCTTCTTTGTTTTGGGAAGTGGAGTACCAAGGATTAAAAACAGAAGCACTTAACACCTCAGCAACATTCCCAGCCCTTTTTTATTTTTCATTTTGAGACAGGGTCTCACTAAGTTACTTATGGCCTTGCTAAGTTGCTGAGTGCCACTTTGAACTTGGGATCCTCCTGCCTCTGCCTCCCAAGTTTTGTGAATTAAGGCTTGTACCCCCACACAAGCTAATATACTGTATTCTTGATGAATGCTAATAGAATTAATGCAATGTTTACTAAGCACTAAAATGATAATTATGTGAAATAATGCACTTGTGAATTAGGTAGATTTAGTCATTTCACCATTCATTTATATCTTCCCTAGTAACATGAAATTTAGTTTGTCAATGGAACAAATCAGTAAATACCAAAGATTATAAAGATTACAAAGCAAGCCATTCACCTCAATAGTGCTGTAGTGATTTCATCCAGGTAATACTGATATTGGCTGTGAGTGCATATGTGTGTTTGTGTGTGTGTTCCCATTAAAAAGATTTGTCCCTATTTCTCCTTTGAGACCATATATTCTTTAACCCCATGGAATATCTGTGTTATTGTTATCCAAAATCTATCTCTTATATCCAGGACTCTTTCATGATAGACAGAAAGTGGTTTTCAGACAGTCCCTGAAAAAGCCATAAATGTTCACCTTTCACATTTCCTATTTTCTATTAGAGAGAAGACAGTTGGTGGATTTTTGTATAATGGTATATTCTGGAAGAGGAAGAACTGGAGTGGATAAAAGTAACACACACCTTTTTTCTGCTGTATTACTCTCCTTAATGATATACACATCGTAAATACTGTGAACTCTTACATTGTTTTGGTAATTCTCAAAAAGAAAATTTTTTAAAAAATATTTTTTAGTTGTCAATTATTTATTTATATGTGGTGCTGAGAATCAAACCCAGTGTCTCACACATACTGAGCTACTACTATAGCCCTCACAGAAATTTTATCTTTCCATTGTTACTTAGCTTATATATTTATGGAGTCATGATGGTCTGTGATGCACTCTTCTGCCACCCTGCTGGTGTCCTAACTACTATAATTTCATGTTATATTTACAAAGTATATTCCCAATCTAATATGTAAAATAATTGTTATTTTTATTTATTTCAGCCATGAACTTTCATCATACCCAGAAAATTACACCAGAGCCTGGCATAGAACATTTATTTAAAAAAGTGATAAATAGAAAATATGGAAATTGTGTCCTTGACTATTTACAACAGAAGAAAGTATGGGATAGTATAGGTGAGAGTGAAATTCAGAAATTATACTATAAAGGACAAGAAAAATTAGTGGTGACTGTCTATAATGAAAATTTTACTGTCAGTAGGCCTCAAGAACATTTAATACCTCAGAAAAGAATTCAATATATAACTGAAGGACAAGTTTCTAAAAGTGATCACTTTGAAAAATTTTTAAAAAATGATCCATTATTCAGAAGTGAACAAAAAATTCCTTCTTGTGCCCAAACATATACTTTTAATGATTGTGGCAAGGCCTCTGTGTACTCATTACTGCTTAATCAAAACTCAAACATAGAATTCTGGAAAGTATGGAACACGCATAATGAAACAAGAAACACCTTTAGCCAGGTTTCCACTCTAAACAATTACCAGTGTACTTATATTGGAGAAAAAATTTATAAATATAGAAAAACACAGAAGAACTCTAGCTCTGGTTGCAATATGAGAGAACATAAGTGTGGCCATTGTGCACAGAACCCTTTCAGAAATGACAAATGTGGGAACGTCTTTCCTCAGTGCTCAAAGCTTATGACCCATCCAAGTACTCAGGGCCAAGAGGCACCTTGCAAATGTGAGGAATGTGAGAGAGCTTCTAATCCAGCTGCTAGCCTTCCTCAATACAGTGGAGCACATTCTGGAAGGGAGCCCCCCAAATTTAAGGAGTGTGTCCAAGCATGGAGTTGCTCACCCCTTTCTAAACACCACAAGTTCCATAGAAGTGATCAACACTACAAATTTAAAGAATGTGGCAAAACTTTTAATCAACAACCACCCCAAGTTAAGTACCACAGAATTCATACTGGAGAGAATCCCTACAAGTGTGAAGAATGTGGCAAATGCTTTAAAAATCACTCAACCCTTTTCAAACACCTGAGATGGCATAGCAGAGAGGAAACCTACAAATGTAAAGAATGTGGAAAAGTTTGTACGAGTTTTTCAACTCTTACTCAACACCAAACTATTCACACAGGAGAGAAGCTCCACAAATGTGAAGAGTGTGGCAAAAATTTTACTCAAAGAGCATACCTTACCCAACACAAGAGAATTCACACAGGAGAGAAGCCCTACAAATGTGAAACATGTGGCAAAGCTTTTAATCGAAGATCACACCTTACTCAACACCAGAGACTTCATACTGGAGAGAAGCCCTACAAATGTGAAGAATGTGGCAAAGCTTTTATAGATCATTCATACTTTACCAAACACCGGAGAATTCATACTGGAAAGCACCCCTACAAATGTGAAGAATGTGGCAAAGGTTTTAATCAAAGTTCACACCTTACTCAGCACCAGAGTATCCATACTAGAGAGAAGCCCTACAAATGTAATGAATGTGGGAAAGGCTTTAATCTAAGAGCATGTCTTACTCAACACCAGAAAGTTCATACTGGAGAGAAGGCCTACAAATGTGAAGAATGTGGAAAAGCTTTTATTCAAAGAGGGAACCTTATACAACACCAGAGAATTCATACTGGAGAGAAGCCCTACAAATGTAATGAGTGTGGGAAATGTTTTACTCTAAGAACATGTGTTATTCGACACCAGAGAATTCATACAGGAGAGAAGCCCTACAAATGTGAAGAATGTGGCAAAGATTTTAAACTAAGGGCATGCCTTATTCAACACCAGAGATTTCATACTAAAGAGAAGCCCTACACATGTCAAGAATGTGGGAAAAATTTTAATCTAAGAGCATGCCTTACTCGACACCAGAAAATTCATACTGGAGAGAAGCCCTACAAATGTAATGAATGTGGCAAAGCTTTTAACCGAAGATCTCGACTTACAATTCACCAGAGACTTCATACTGGAGAGAAGCCCTACAAATGTGAAGAATGTGGCAAAACTTTTAATCGAAACTCAAATCTCACAAAACACCAGAGAATTCACACTGGAGAGAGGCCCTACAAATGTGAAGAATGTGGGAAAGGTTTTACTCAAAAATCATGCCTTAGTCGACACCAGAGAGTTCATACTGGAGAGAAGCCCTACAAATGTGAAAAATGTGGGAAAAGTTTTAATCTAAAAGCACATCTTACTCGACACCAGAGAGTTCATACTGGAGAGAAGCCCTAAAATGTGAAAAATTTGGGAAAGGTCTCTCTCAGAGAGTGCATTATTCGACACCAAAGAATTCATGCAGGAGAGAGACTGTACAAATGTGAAGAATGTATGAAAGATTTTACTCAAAGAACATGCCTTATTTGACACTGGAAAATTCATATTGGAGAAGCCCTTTATATGTGAAGAATGTAAGAAAAGATTTAATCTAGGAGCATGCTTTGTTCAACATCAGAGAAATAAAAATGGGGACAGACAATGCAAGTGTAAACACTGTTGCAGACCTTTTAGCAATTGCTAAAAACATTATTACTCACTGGAGAATTCAGAGTGCATAAAAACCCTGAACAATGTAAATACTGTGCCTAACGAATTTCGATTTTTTTTTAACATTAGAAACCAGATACCTATAGGGAATGTGGAAAGACATTTGCCTGAAATACATGCCTTAAATAACAGCAAAATATCTTTAATGGAGAAAACACATTAGAAATATAAAAAATATAGCAAAGTCCTCATCTGTAAGTCATATCATGATGTATGTGGGAAAGAAATGAGGAATTGCCTTTAAGTTTTGTTAAAATTTATTATAAGCTGATGTGGTAAAAATAAAGAAATTCTCACAAGTATCATAGAATAGTGCAGTAAACTAATCTCTGAAAAGATATGAATATATTATAAATCAAAGATTACTCAATATTCTAACTTTTGAAAACTGGAGAAAAAAATTTCAAACATAGATCATTTTATGAGAAGTCTTTTCCTGAGAGTTAATATATATTTTTGAGACTTTACAGTGTATTTTGAAATACTTTATTAACATTTTATATACATTTGGTTACTGAATAAAAGTAAAAATGTGTTAATGTGTTAACAGTTTTATGTGTTGAATCATGATTTACTATCTCACTGGTGACACAGTTCCTCTTTACTAAAGGTTCTACATAACAGATATAAAATAAAATATCTCCAGTAATATTTAGAAACATCAATTCTTTTAGAAAATAATTTCCCATAAATCAGACCTTTATTCTTCTTGTAATTATGAAGACATTAAGACAGTTATGCATAAGATATAAGAACATGAAAATAAGCACCAGATTTCTCTATCTTGAATTAGTACATTAATCTTTTAACATATAGGTGCTGGGCAGGGTGGCCCATTCTTTTAATCCCAGCAACTCAAAAGGCTGAGGCAGAAGAATCCCAAGTTCAAAGCCAGTCTCCACAACTGATTGAGGCCTCAGGCAACTTATGACACCCTGTCTCAAGATAAAAATAAAAATCACAGGGGATGTGGCTCAGTGTTTAAGCACTACTGAATTCAATCCCTTGTATTAAACACATTTTTTTACCTTATAGAATGGCAGTACTTCTAAAAGCCCTGAAATTTGAGAAAGCAAAACAACATCCCAACACAGGGATTTTGAATACTCCAGAAACCAAGAGTCACCAGGGCATATTTTGTGAAAAGGAGAACGATTGGAGAGACATATTCCTGATGGTTGCCCAGGAAGCAACATGTTCAGCTGGACACTGACCCATCCTGGTTCCTGGCATGTCTGGTAGAAAACAACAACAACAACAACAAAAACTCGAAGAAACCAAGCAGTTCATCATAAAGGCCCCAGGAGTAACTCACCCCTGAGGAGATTTCACTCATGTCAAATAATTTAGAAAAATGTTTTTGTCCAATATCAAATGCCTATTTAGACTTGGGCAACCATCAGGAAAGTTTAACCAGAAAGAACTGTCCAATAATGAGGGTGAAAAGAAAGAGCCATACTCATGGAATATGGAAGCTTCCCCCATATTTTATAATATTATGTATCTTTTGATTTTGGCTACCTTTTATTCTACTCTATACTTTACAATGGTTGTCATACTTCTGGGATTAAAGGATATATAGTGTATGATACAGGCTCCCAAACTTCTCTAGCACTGAATCTATATGAGATACTCCAAATTATACCTGTCCCTTTTTATGTATTAAGTGGAACTGGAAAACATACCAACACACAGGGAAAAATAAAATTTTTATTCAGATAAGGCACTGGAGTGTCTATAAATCCTATTTAAAAGCTAAGCACAAAATTAAACAAATATTACCTTAGTTTTTTTTTGTAGTGTTAGCTTTTTGGGTCAATGGAACACCCACAAATACTGATTTTATTTAAATTTATTGGGATATGTAAATATTGAATTTATGATAACAAACACGGAAACAGTGTATGTGAGAGATCTTTTTATTTAAGATTCAGCTACACAGTGATCAGCCATTCTTCATTCTAAGGGTTATGGCTACACGTTTTCTGCTTGTCTTCACTTCAGGTCATCTACACAGCGATAGTTCTCATGAGTTATTTAAAAGTTTTCTAAGGCAAGTTAAATTGTAATTTGGGAGTGACTTGGGAGTTATTACATTTTTTAAAAAGTATTTTTAGATGTAGAATGACACAATGTCTTTATTTTATTGATTTATCCTTATGTGGTGCTGAGAATTAAATACAGTGCCTCATGCAGGCTAGGCGAACACTCTACCATTGAGTTACAAACCTAGCCCACATTACTGCATTTTTGAATCCACATTACTGCATTTTTAAATAATTTTCAATTTACAGATAGGTATTGTAACTATTAGGCCCAGAGTGAAGTTTCAATATATGTATATATCATATGATACAATTAGTAATTCACATATTTTTCATTTCTAATATTTTGCATCATTGAGAGTGTTTCTATTCATCTTTGAATGCACTGCACATTAATATATATAGTCATCCTACTGTGTAATTGGACCCGAGAGCCCTAGAACTAATTTTTCCTATGAAACTGTGTTTACAAACCCATCTTTTGCTTTTCACACAACCAGAAGTGGATACCTGAGTCGTAAATTTATATGTTTTATAGAAAATATCAGTCACTCCAGATGTTTTTCTTTTTTCTTTTTTGCATTGCTATGTGTTCCTGTCTTAGGCACTTTGACACTGAATGCCACCAAATGTGCTCATCAGCACGTTACAACAGCATGCTTCAAAATGGGAAGTTTTCATGTCATTTTAATTTTTAAATTTTTTTTAGTTGTAGATGGACACAATATCTTTATTTTTATTTGTTTATTTTTATATGGTGCTGAGGATTGGACCCAGGGCCTCACATGTGTGAGGCCAGCTCTCTACCACTGAGCTATAAACCCAGCCCCTCATGTCATTTTTAGATGTGGGGAGTATGTGGTGTGTTTCCTTTATTCATCACACTATAATTGTGTAGTATAGCATGAGCCCCTCACTTTCTAAAACACACATACATAAATACACAGTATATTTACATCTTCCCCTAATTTTCCTTGTTTTTATGAAGAATAATCAGTTTCCCAAATGAACCAGAAAATAACTGCTACAATATGGTAAGTCTCAAACCAGTTATGTATGACAATCTTATAATCATTCACCTTCAATAGAGAAGGGAGACTGCTAGGCAGGTGGATCAGGAGGTTAAGTGGAATAATGGTGATTATACTATATCTCTATTTTACCTAAAGTGACATAGAATATTGGTGGCATATTTTTAAAGACCTATGTGTGAGACAGTATTATTATAAAAACTACATAATTTTTGGTTTTGGGAATTGAACCCAGAGCTGCTATACCACTGAGCAATATATCTACTCTTCATTTTTTTTTTTTTTGTTTGAGAAAGGGTCTTGCTAAATTGATGAGCTCCTGGGGCTGACCTCAGAATTGCACTTCTCCTGCCTCAGCCTCTTGTGTCACTGAGTTTACAGTTATGTGTCTGTGCCTTGAAACAAAATGCCCACACATATTTTAAATGCTCTGGGAAAGAAAATTTTTTATAGATGATCAAAAACCTGAAGAGTTTTAGAATATTTCTAATACACCCAACAACTTCCTTATGTTTACATGTTGTCAAAATGCAATGGATTATAGTCAGAGTAAACCTATCAACTAAATATTTAAATGTTTTTTGGAGGGTACTGAGGATTGAACCAAGGGGTGCTTAACCATTGAGCCACATCTTCAGGCCATTTAAAAATTTTACTTAGACACAGTCTCACTGAGTTGCTAAGCGACCTGCTAAGTTGCTGAAGCTGGCTTTGACCTCAGGATTCTCCTGCCTCAGCCTCTGGAGCCACTAGGGTTACAGTCATGTACCACTGTGCCCAGCTTAAATTATATTAAAGGAGTTTCATGGCACCTTTCCAAAGCCCAGTAGGGAAAGCCAAAGACTTAGATGTTTGTGGGCATCTGTAGGTTGCTATCTCAAATGCCACTCAAAGGAGTTGACTTTAATGGTTCTACTCTCTGGGTCTATACTCAACACTCTTATGGAAACTTGGAGAACAGAGTGAGCACTCTCATTTGAGCATACGCATGACTTGTACAGCACCTCTAGGTGCTATAAAAAGGAAACCGATGACAAAATTTCCTTCAATGAAAATCTGCTGAGTTGCTGGAGGAAGACCACTTCTCCCCAAGTTGAGGAATCATGGGAAGGGAGGGCACCCCGCACTAAGATTTCCCTTTTAATTTTTTTTTTATAGTTTGATGCTCTTTATATTTGTGCTTGCAGTGGATAAGCATTTTATTAATGACAATTTCAAACACACACACACATGACAAGGTACCATCAAGTGCTGCCATTTACCATTGTGCTAGCAGAATGGCACTCTTGCTTTATCAGCTCCCCAGCTCAAGAGCCTTGCTTCTGGGTTCCTGTTCCCCACACGTGCTCCCACTTCATTCGTTGTTGCATTTGAAACCACCAGTGTTAAGATCATTAGTCTTCTCCTCTCATCACATGCCTTACAAAGCAGGAATGGGAAACTGGAGGAGGTCTCTGCAATGGAACTGATGCAGGGACATGCAAGCACTCCAGGACTGGTTATTCCACTTTAGACATTCCTAGAAAGTGTGGGGCCCCTGAAGATTCCGAAACCATGCAGGTCTTTTGGTAACACTCATCCCCTGTATTATTGTGGATGCGTATGCCCATTTGGG